GTCTGGAAAAAGCTGACATGCAGAGTGACCCATTTTAAAGACTTACCATGAAAAAAAAAGAAGTATGGGTTTGGGTTCTTTAAGAATTTCACAACCATCCTCTTAGGAGGATGTCCTAAAGAAAGTCAAAGTAAAATGAAGCGGGAAATTGAGGCGATCGTCGAGATGATTCAAGACAAAATTCACTCTTATCTGCAATCTTAGGGAAATATTGAAACTATTCCCAGACACTTTTCTCCCCTCTCCCCTGGCCACACTGACACCCCTGTTCCTCACACTCTGCAGGTGCCCTTCCACTCCTGGGCCTTTGCCTTGCTGTTCCCTCTCCAGGAACACTCTTCCCTGGATGGAAATAAAACAGAGCACTAGCAAATAGGTAGTTTACACAAAAAGTCAACCTTTGCAAACAGGCAGCTTTTGGGGACCTGGGAAGGACATACATTTTTAAAAGATGTTTTATTTTTTTTAAAAAGTTACCACCAAACCAGAAACAGGCTCTCCAGTGCTTGTCACACTGGAAAATCTCTTAACGAGGCCCTTCACCACTTCCATCCTCCTGATGAAATTCAGCTTAATTGAGGTCAGGCTGCCACCACCACCACCACAGTGACACCCACCATTTCCGCTTCCTACCTTGAGAGGAAACAGTACAACATTCTGGGCAGTAAAGAAAAATTTTCCACAAAATGATGCTAAAAGCTAAAAAATATCTTCTACTTTTATTATTATTTTTTAAATATGTCTTTATTGATTTCAGAGAGAGGAAAGGTGAGGGAGAGAGAGAGAGACAGAAACATCAATGATGAGAGAGTCACTGATCGAGCCCGCAACCTGGGCATGTGCCCTGACCGGGAATCGAACCCCGATCGCCTGGATCCTAGGTCGACACTCAACCGCTGAGCCACACCTGGCTGGGCTGTGATCTTCTACTTTTAATTTTTTTCAGAAGTGATTATCCTATTGCATTAAGCAGGGGAAACTTATCCCATAACTGCTGTTCTTTCAAAAAAGGGAAGGAAACACATTTAGCAAAGAGCAGCAGTTTTCATGAATTTAATCCCAATGATTTTTGTCCTTTGTCAACAAACGTCCTTGGTTTGAACTCATCTGAAAAAACGATAAAATGTAGCTATAGCTCCATATATACCTATCTATCTGTGCACATACAAACATATGTAGTATTCTGAAACCAACAGGGGCCTGTTCATTACCATCACTTATGAAGGACTGAGTGAGTGAAAACATTTGAAGCACTAAAACAGTGTCTGGAACATAGTGATCACTTCATGTGTGTGCTGTTGAGGTTACTGTTGTGTAAAAGATTACTTTGCCCACTGGAGTGAACAGTTATTGGTGCTCTCCTTCCAACAACGTTCCCGACTTTGCTAGGGGCTCCTGTTGGAACACAGTTCTCTCGGGGCCCCTCAGGTTTCTGCATGTCTTCTGAGCAGAGGCACTAATGGCATTTGGTTCCAGACTATATTTGCAGCAAACGCCCTTGGAGAACAGATCATGTCTCCCTCCAGAGCAGAAGGGCAGGTTTGTTTGCTGCCCCAAAGAATAAAGGTACCATCTCCCTCTGAGGCCAAGTTTGGTCAGGGTTGCATAGATCCTGTTGATGCAGATGGGGGTTTCCTGTGCTCAGGGTTCTTCGGTTTTGACACAAACCCTCATGTGCACAGCATTGCATTTGCCCACTTTGGAGGCATGGGGAAATGTAAATACAAAGCATAAGCTCTTAGGATGCTCTGAGAAAAGTCCTTTGTCCCTGTGCCTGGCAGGCCTGACCAACATCCTTAGAAGGATCTCAGGGTGTTAGCATATGCTTGCAAGGTTGGCCTTTGGCTGTTGTGCAGGAACTTGGAGCTGAGGGGGGTTCCCACCATCCCCAGAGTTGATAAAAGCAGCTCAGTGTGCCTAAACTGTGCACAAACAATGTGACTCGTGCTGAACACCTGCTTTCTTTCTGAGAGTCTGGAATTTTGGTATGTGCTATGCAGAGGCTGCCGACATGATCGCCCCCCCCCAAAACCTTGGGTGCCGAGGCTCTCATGAGCTTCCCAGCTGGCAATGTTTCACGTGTGTGGTCACAACTTGTTACTGGGGGAAAGAAAGCATATTCTGTGTGGGCACTGGGAGAGGACTCTGGCACCTACAGCCTGGTTTCCCCTGCACTCACCCCATGCCTTTTCCCTTCAGCATCCTTTCTCTGTGATAGACCACAGCCGGGGGTCTGACTATACACTGAGTCCTGTGAATCATCCGCGTGAATCACTGGACCTGGGGGTGGTCTTGGGGACTGTGACATAGTCTCTGACCCCAGAATCTCATGTCTTCTGTCTGCATGCATGAAACTGGGGTGGGCGAACGTTCATTTGAAGGAGGGGAAAATCTCAGACATTCCACAGTCCTTTTTTTTTTTTTTTAAATATATCTTTATTGATTTCAGAGAGAGGAAAGGAGAGGGAGAGAGAGAGCTAGAAACATCAATGATGAGAGAGTCATTGATCGGCTGCAGCCCGCAACCCGGGCATGTGCCCTGACCGGGAATCGAACCCTGATCTCCTGGATCCTAGGTCAACGCTTAACCGCTGAGCCACGCCCGGCCGGGCTCCACAGTTCTTGGCAGTGATATCTCTTTGCCTTTCTCAGGACGTGTGTGTGTGTGTGTGTGTGTGTGTGTGTGTAGGGGTGAATTCCAGGTCCAGGTCCACTTGGGTGTTACATGTCCTGCTCATGAAGCTTTGAGGAGCAGGTACCCGATCTAAGGGAGTCCAAGCAGAATCAAGTCTCTTTCTTCTCCTCTGGCCACAAACCAAGGACATGGGGCAGTCACCTTGTAATCATGAGTGTTAACTTAGAGATAGTGGGACCAAGAAACTGTGGGTACTGTTGCAGTGCCCAAAACCAGCTGGCCTTTTACCCTGGGCATGTGGTCTTGACCAGGAATCGAACCAGCAACCTTTTGGTGCACAGGATGTTGCCCACGCAAGCCACACCGACTGGGGCTATAACCGGTCAGTCTTAAAGCCAGTCAGCCCCTGGGTGATTTTAAGATTCTTGAGTTGATAAATGTTCTTTGCTGCTTAAGAGGGATTGGATAAGGGTTTTGCTCACTTGTAGCAGAGGAGTCCTAACTGATACAGATCACAGCTGTTCAGAGGTGCTGCAGCCTCCCATTGTGGTGTAGAGAACCAAGCCTCACCAAGTGGGCCCTTCTTCAGGAACCCTGAGACTAACAGCAACATAACCAGCCTTCCAGCAGCCAACAATATTAAAGCACCTCTTAAGTGCAGAGCAGCAGATAGGAGCTGAACCTGGTTCTATTTCAGGTGACTTCCAGCCTGTAGATGCTGTTTTGTGGCCGAGGTACATATAGGAACATAGATCTTCACTTGAAGTGAAGTAGGGAGGATGTAACCATAGCAACATGAGCTGAAGACCCAGCTGCTAGGACAGGGGTGGGAAACCATGTGGTCTGGGCCTGTCAAGGCAACTGCGGGCGGGACTCAAAATTCAACAAATCTAGGAGCTTTTTTCATTGATAATTTTTAAGTTGATAATTTTGTATGGCCCTCGAATGATGTTATAAATATCCAAATGGCCCTCGGCAGAAAAAAGCTCCCCCCCCCCCC